TGTCTAAATCATAAAAAATTCATATCTTGCAAAAGCTTTGGTTTATAAGCCTAAAAGTGTCGCAGTGAGTAGACAACATCTATCTTCAACTGTGGTGAAAATTTCCGACTCCTAGCTGATCATGGTCTTGAGCTATTAATTAATTATTATTAATGGCATTTTCATTAATTAGCTCATATCTCCGTCAAAAAGGTGCATGGGCCCAAACCAACTTGGGGTTTTTCACTGCTGACTATCCCCTACATCATGAAAATAGTCTGAGTCGAAAAGCTTTTAATCACCTCGAGAGGTTCCCTCGTAAGACATGTTAATATTTTAACATTTCAAAGAACTTTTTTTAAAAGCTTTTTTTCACTGTCATGACGAAGAGAAAGGTAATGTCAGATTTTTTTTGCTTATGTCGAGACACAGCTGTTTTACCTGTTGATCTAATCTCCAGCCAAAAGCTATCAGATCCGGAAGAAATAAAGTTTCTCGATTTTTCTGTAAAAATTTGCACAAAATTAGGACTTGAAGTAAAGTAAAGTTGGATTTTCTTGTGAAGAAAGTAAACTTTATTAGCACTGCTTACCATCTTCTATTGGATGCGCGATGCTTTCATTATGTCCCAGAAGTTTCGGAGGAAAGTAAAAACACAAAAGTTTCCATTAGTAACAAGAAATGACAGGAAATTGACAGGCACCAAAGTTCGAAATTAACGGTCCTAAAAACTATTTTTAAAACAGTACGATACCAAAACATTCTGATTCATAATCTGCTGCTCATTTTGTACATTTGTAAGATAGCAAATAAAATATTACATTAGAAACACGTGCTGATATGCATAAAGAAGACTTGACGGAAAGAAAACGTACGGAAAATAAAACATTTCTTGATTGTTTAGAAGCGATTAATTCTAATTATCTCTCTAATGTTAAGTTGTGGTGTCCTTTGTGATAAGAATGTAGTGCAACATTTTTTCAACCAAAATAAGTTTCAGACAAACAGATTTTCATTCAAAAGCATTTAAAAAAAGTCAACAAAAAAAATGTATTCTTCTCCATCTTTTTTGAATATTAATGCACAAGAAAATCCACGTTTGTTTGAGACTTGATCTGTTGTAAAATGTAGCCACATTAGAACCGCAAAAAAATGGTGTGAAAGCGACGTAGATGAATAGTATATTTATTACATTTATTCTCATGGTCGAATATTTTAAAAATGAAATCAGGTAATGATTATCAGTAACTGGTTTAAAACTAAATCATAATTGTTTTTCTACTCATAAGAGCAACACACAGTATTGTTTGTAACGTGCCCTGGATCTCCTTCATTATATTATATTTTTACAAGGCATTTTTGTACCATAGTGAAGATGAATGAACTGCTGTTCTTTATACTCAAGAATAATTTTTTTTATTCTTTTAAGAAGTTTAATTCTTTTAAATTCGCACATTTGAAATTGAAAACCACTTGAAACATTGTTTGAGCGACAAAAGTGAGGGAACAACGAGGAGGTAACAAATAAAAAAACTTTTTATTTTTTTGGTGTATATCAATCATTTTTTTCTTCCATTTCTGTGATGATTTGAAATTTAAATTTATTGGTAACACAAATTGGACGTGTGTATATGTATTTTCTTCTTGGATAAACATACATTATTCTTTAAAATCAAACATTGTATTACGTTGACAAGTGACGTTTGTATTTGTTTATTTTTGTTGTCATCTTTCCATCGCTATATTTCAGATAAATTAATGATTTTGTATTCGGATTAAGAAAACCGATAATAGCAATCTACAATAATAAAAAAGATGTAATAATCGGTATAAGACGATTTATAGATCGAGATATAATGGAAACAATACAATTTCAGGTAAAATTCAAATTCAAATTGTATAGTACCTGATGTATTAGTTGTCGTCAGCAGTTCAAACTACTCACCAGAAAAAATAAATTTCTAATTTAGAGATCGACTTTAAATTACTAAAAATCGTAGACAGTGAAAACACTAAAGACGTAAAAATATTTTACAAAAGTACTTGCCAATTTGAGTACTGTATGTTTGTTATTGAATTAATTTGAACAGCATACTACAAGACTTTTAGAAAAAAACAAAACATCTGTCAAGTTGCTGAAACAGTTTTTTACTGTCAGAATATTATTTCAAGAAAAAAAATTGATTAACTTTAAAATGAAATCGCTTAAACTTCAGATTAGTATTTTTAAGAAAAGGAAAGAGCATTTAAGATTTATATTATATTTTAATCAGGAGACAGATTAGTTGCACAGTATGTTTAGCTATGAGAAAATGAAAGCGATGGCTTCTTACTCTTACGGTATATATGGATCGAATATGAGAAACAAGAAGCGTTTTCAGGTCATATAGCCTTTAGAAGCTAAGAATAATTGTTTAAATATCATTTGTGTTAAAATTTTTCTGTTTCAGTCACGAACATCAATGCCTACTGGAATTGATTCTTTGTCTCATCAACAACATCTACATCATCATCACAATTACAATTATCGACCACCTCATCATTACAAAAGCACCATTCATCTCGTTACTACTGCGCGAGACTTCAATGATGAAGATGAACGACGTCGTAGCAGCTCATATAAAGTAAACAATGAAATTAATAGTTCAAACATTGCTAATTACATTAAAAATCAATCAAATTCATCTCATGCATACTCACAACAATATCATTCTTCTCTATCTCATAGACCTGTTAATAATACTTATTCTTCAACTCGTACGAATTCTTCATTATCGCGACACTCATCTAATTTAACAAAAACAACAGCAGCAGCAGCATTAGCAATGTTATTAAAAGGTCATGCAGACACGTCATCCTCATCGAATTTGCTTGATATAACTGATCAGCAGCAAACACGCGCTACACCAAATAGGAGACGTGGATCGATTATAACAGATTCTATATTGACAAAAAATGATCAATGTAAGCAACAAACAAAATCGTCTTATTCTTCTTTAGTTACGTTAAATCGAACAAATCAGACAGTTTCTACCCAAGTGGCTGCACCTAGCATACGTCGATGTGTTTCAGTCCTGGGTAAACGGTATTCGTCCACTGATTTGAATATACCTAAGCCGAATACGGCACGGGTAGAAAAATCATCATCGTTACGTTCGACTAATCAAGACTTGAATGAACGAGAAACACTAAATAATAGTAAAAGTAGAATATCATTAGATTCAAATGGTTCTCTATCAGCTCGAATATCTAATTATCAGCAACAACTACCACTAAATATGAGGAGAAACCATGTCTTATCGCAATCTAAATCAAATAGTTCAATGATATTAAATGATTCTGCTATGAATAAAATGAAGGGTGAACGATTACATGATACGAGTTTGACGCAGTCAAACAGTGAGAATACGATTAAGGCCAATGAACAAGAATACGTAAAAAATTCGGGTAATTATTGATAACATATCTGTCTTTTCTATTTGTTCCACTGAAACTGTCATTCAGGTAGGAAGATGTCACAGAGTATGTAATGTTTCTTCCCCTCTTTCCTAGCAGATTAAGAGGGACCGCACAATTCGTATAGAAATCGCATAACATGACTAAAATATTGTTTAGCTCCATCATGCTCACTGGATTCTTCATGCAAAGTGATCGATCCATGAAAAATACACTTTTGCACCATAATAATGTTTCGTTCTAAAGTTTGGTACAGTTTAAAAAAGTACTAACTTTCTTAAACAAAACTGTTTCAAAAGTAGAAATTTAACTTTTCGCTACGAAAATTCAGTTTAGAACTAAAATAAAGGGCATATTCCTGAACAGGTGAAAATGGAGTAGAATAATATGCATTTTAGGAAAAAATACTTTCAATTAGAAATCAATCATCTTTCCTTCCTTCTTACAAAATGCAAATCAACGAAAAGCATACCAGTCCAGACGAGATTGTTGATGGAAATTTATTCTCGGCATCGATATTCGATAGCACATGTATAAATATCTGTTCATAAGCATGCGCTTTATTTTGGTTGTAAACTGAGTTTTCATGGTGAAAACTTAACTCCAAATTTTCATTACTATCCCGATCCAATCTTGTTTTTATCACTCGGTTTTAACCATCTACCTCACGTCCAAAGCTGGACAACTCAATTCCGGGGTTGAGTGTTTGCTCAGTGTATAATAACATACGATATATCCCACTGAAGGAAAAAGAACGAATAGATTCCAATTCGGAGTTGAAACAGAGTTGGAGTTGAAACCCTCGAAGTTGATGTTGGAGTTGAGTTGGAGTTGTACCTGGCCAGAGTTACCCACCTCTGCTCACATCGTAGGTCAAAATGTGGTAATTGTGGTTAATTATTTTCGTCCACAAAATGTACAAATGAAAAGTCAGTATCTTTTTTCCAAACGTTACAAAACTTGAGAGTAAACCATTATTACGGTGTAAAAGTTTGAATTCACGGGACAGTTTGCATGAAAAATCCAATGTTATGCATCTATTCATGTATCCTTGACTCTTTTTGAAATTTTCACAGCGTGTTATAAGTGAATAAAATTTTATCCTTTTTTGATTTTAGTGACCAATATTGCAAAACCAGATGTTCCGCCAAAAGTTTGTAGTTTAGATCAGAATAAATCTCTGTTAAAAGAGAAAAGAATTCTTCATTCTAAACATTTAACTCGTCAGCATTCTCATGAACCATGTCCAATCACATATCAGAGTCAGCTGAGTTTGGGAACAACGACAACATCAGATTCTGGTTCCGATAATACAATCTTGAATCATTTACCGGAACAGAATGAGGTTAGTGATAAATCACAATCAAGTGTTTTAGAAGAAATTTTAAACAACGGAAATTTGTTATCACCGCGAAAAAATCCCGTAAAGCATTCAAACCGTTTACGTTCATGTGATACAGTGACTTCAGATGAATTAGAAAAAAATAGTCGAAAACTGCCACCACTAGTATTTTCAGTATCATCAGTGAAAATTAATAATGAAGTGCCATTGAACAGTAGCAATAGTGACAGTGAATTACGAAAACTTGAACGAGAAATTTATGAAGAAAGAAAAAAGAAGATAGAAGAACAAGAACAAGTGGTAATCAATGTGACAGAATACGCACAAGATATACTGAAATATTTACATGAAAGAGAGGTAAATGAGAATACTATCATTATTACTGGATGTCACTAACGAGAAGCGTTGGCCCTGTAGCGTTGACTCGATGTACTGATGACAACAACAGACGTTAAAAAATTATCGATGTATTGATGAAAATCACTAAACACAATGTTTTATCCTACTATTTCTTTTAGCATGTATGTCGTCCAAAGGCAAACTATATGCGAAAACAAAGAGAGTTGACATGGGAGATGCGTGCGATATTAATTGATTGGTTATGTGAAGTGGCTGATGAGTACAAGCTATTTTCAGAAACATTTCATTTAGCTGTTAATTTCATTGATCGTTTTCTATCTCGAATGTCTGTCACAAAATCAAAATTTCAAGTAAATACCATAGTATTTATCCTACTCAAACATGTATCAATTTTTGTGTTCTCTCTCTCTTTTTAGTTAATTGGTACAGCAGCACTTTATTTAGCAGCGTACATAGACTTTGACTAAAAGAAATTTTCAGATTGTTGATTGTATATTTTTATTCTAATTTTAGTAAATGTGAAGAAGTTTATCCACCAAACGCATCTGAATTTGCTTACGTGACAGATAATGCCTATTCAAAAAAACAGGTAATTGAAGATAACTTTAAATTGAAGAAGATGTATTTGAACGTCTCTCTTAAAGGTGCTAAAAATTGAAGATTTATTATTAAAAACATTACATTTTGAAGTATCAACAGTTACAACACATACATTTTTGTTACATTATATGAAATTAATTGAAATCGATGAAATAACAGAAGATTTAGCCAAGGTAAAAAAAATGCAAAATTTAACTAAAAATGACCTGATTTTTATCCTTTTAATAGTATATTGCTGACATAACACTATTAGATTCAGAGTGTATTCAACAAATACCAAGTTTACAAGCAGCCGCTATTTTGTGTCTATCGTTGCATATGAATAAAAAACCGGCATGGGTATTTAGATTTAATTTCTAATATTATCTTTGTTTATTCTAAAAATCTATTTTTCTATTGCTTAGTCGTATAAATTAAAAGAATATACTGGTTATACAATAAATTCATTCTATAGTATAATGGAAAAAATATTTTGGAATTTTGCTCGAACAACAACTCAAGGTAAATGGGCAATAACAAAGAAATATCGTCATATGAAACATCATAATGTTGCTTCGATTGAATTACCGACGACATTACCATACACAATGATAAATGAAGCATAATGGTAGTAGAATCTCATATTACGCTTGCTTCTTTTCTTCATGACAAATTGCATGCCTTCCAAATATGAAAATTATAAAATTAAGAAAAATCAAAAAAATCTTATGTTTTCTTGTTTGATTAATGCACGCTCACTTGTTTATCTTGTTCGTAGAACAGGGTTTATCATTTTTTTTACTATTCAAGTTTTTCTTATGAATGACTATTTTTTAGGGAGATGTCATAGATAAGAGTATATAATGGATTTTATGAGAGCAATTCCTTCCCCTCTTTCCTTGCAGATTAAGAGGGACCGCACAATTCGTATAGAAATCGCATAACATGACTAAAATATTGTTTAGCTCCATCATGCTCACTGGATTCTTCATGCAAAGTGATCGATCCATGAAAAATACACTTTTGCACCATAATAATGTTTCGTTCTAAAGTTTGGTACAGTTTAAAAAAGTACTAACTTTCTTAAACAAAACTGTTTCAAAAGTAGAAATTTAACTTTTCGCTACGAAAATTCAGTTTAGAACTAAAATAAAGGGCATATTCCTGAACAGGTGAAAATGGAGTAGAATAATATGCATTTTAGGAAAAAATACTTTCAATTAGAAATCAATCATCTTTCCTTCCTTCTTACAAAATGCAAATCAACGAGATGTAAACTGAGTTTTCATGGTAAAAACTTAACTCCAAATTCTCACTACTATTCCGATCCAGTCTTGTCTTTGTCACTCAGTTTTAACCATCTATCTCACGTCGTAGGTTAAAAAGTGGTAATTGTGGTTAATTATTTCGTCCACAAAATGTACAAATGGGAAAAAAAAAGTCGGTATCTTTTCTCAAAACTTTACAAAACTTGAGAGTAAACCATTATTACGGTGTAAAAGTTTGAATTCACGGGACAGTTTGCATGAAGAATCCAATGTTATCCATCTATTCATGTATGCAAAAGTTTGTAGTTTAGATGAGAATAAATCTCTTTCAAAATATTTGTTTACTTTTGTATTGCAAACCATCTTGGACAGTCTAAATTGACAATGAGCGAAAAATAGATCTTTTTTTTAGAAATGTAGATGTTAGAACTTTATGAACTGAACTTGACTCCATTTTCGACGTAAAAGTGTTATTGCTAAACTTTCTACAAAATTCAGATGCTTCAGTAGTTTTTTTTAGAAAAACAATCTTTTTTTATATTCGAGTACATTGAACTATGAACTGAATCGAACCCTTCTTGTACAGATAAAAGAGTGGATAGAACGCAAAATGTTCAGTCCATCCCGAGCTCTACGATGCACTTAGCATACTCTCGTTGTCAAGACAAGAGCATGACATGCACTGTATGAAAGGTACTATATGTAGTTATCAAAGTCGTAGTTCACGTCTATCTGCCATGTGTTCATTAGTGTAGCTGTTTTTTTCTTGTTCATGTTCATTTTTTTAGGAAAATTTTATCTCTATGCAAATGTTGCGTATCTTTTTTTAAAGAAAAATGACTTTCTTAAATCTTATTCTATTCATTGTGCACCCATGTTTGATGTTCAGTCGATTTTTTATTCTTTTTTCGCTACTCATTTTAATGTGATCAACCAAACGTCATTTTGTATTTTTATACAAAAGTAAAATATTTGACTTTTCATGACTATATAGAACAAGTGTATTTCTATTATTCTATACGACAGTTTGATTTTTGATTATTTGTTTTGCTTGTCACTGTTTAAGTTGTTTCTTCAGTGTTTGTTTATTTTTTTTCTAGAGAAGTATTCAAACATTTTGACTATTTTTTTATTAAGTAAAATTGAGTTATACAGACATTTTATACTTTTATATTTTACGCTATATGTCTATTCTTAATCATAAATCAAATCTACATTTAAAAGATTCTAGTTGACTAGGTGATGTATCTGTTACGTGTCTATCAAAAAGAAACATAGTTTACATTTCAAGTTGTGCAGAAATTCCACAATAATGGATC